ATCCCAAATGACTGCCAAGACTGAAAAGATTTTTATACATATTTCAGCAGAACAGGCTGATGTTCATCAGGAGGATCACAGAGGTGAGATTTTTCATTTTTAAAATCGGATTAAATATGGATTTTCAGAAAAAGATTCAGAACCAGAGGCAACGAACCCAGACGAATGTGAAAATTTTGCACCAAAGACTGATTGGGCCCGTAAAAGACGAAGAGTAACTTTTTATACAATGTGCAATCTTTATCATCAATTCAATTATTGCAGGTGAAAGACAAACTATAAAACAAACATCGGAAGTGGCTAATATACTTAAATGTGCCGAAAATATAGTTGCTGCCATCCAATAAAAAACAGATGGCACACCAAACGATTTATTTGGGGCCTATGATACTTCATCTCTGAATCAGATGACAACAGATGTTGCATCTAAAAAAAAAGACGACAAATAAGCGACATTCTTGAAAGACAAGAGTGAATGACGTATGTCATCACTTTGTGAACCATAGGCACCTATATCAACCATTGTAAATAAATACATAGCATCACAGGTTGCCAGGAGTAGGGGAAAGTCGGGAGGAGAATTATCGACAAGAAAATAATTTGAGATCTGTTTCAGATGAAAAAGAAAAACGGCAAATCCGACAAGCAGCTGGTGAATCACTAGATGATTCAGATGAAAATGATTTGGAGAGATCTGTTTCAGATAAAAAAACTATGAGATTCGACAATTAGATATGGAATTATTAGATGATTCAGCGGATGAAGAGCTGCCTCTTGCACATTTCGTAAACACAGTTGTTAATTATTCTTCTCTTCCTTCACTACAACAAGAAGTAATCTTGAGCACTTACAAAACGCCAAATAAAAGCGAACCTTCCTGCACAACCGCAACATTGGCCATATCCAAAGTTAAGAAGACAATTTTTCAAAAAAATTCTAGTTCAAGCCGAATCTAAACCGAAACCTTAACTTCATTCGAAATGTTTGACGCTACTCCCGGTCCAAGTGCAATCCAGAACCACGCCTCATCTGAAAACTCAACTGAAAGTTACGTCACAGAAACCGACAAAGAGACGGGAAAAAAGTTGTGTCACTCTTGGACATACGGCCTTTCCCAAAATATGAACGACCAGATAACAGAGAAGGTAGAAAAATTACTGCCAGTATTATCACTAGCACGCCTATGAAAAGACAGTTGAAGGAGAAGTTAAAAAATGAAAGGCAGAATATTGGTGAACCTGTAGACGATGAAGACTGTCACTAAAAGATACGTTGACGATCACATTAAAGCAGCCAAGGAATCAACCTTGAACTATTTCCAAGAATTCATTGCACCAGCGCTACGATACGTCAAATAAAAACATTGATTTAAAAAACACGAACTGCGAATCATCATTGACAAAAATGCACTGATCACTTCAGCATTGGCTGATCGATTGAGTAATGTGGAGAAGCAAATTGGTGTTATAACCGATTTGGTTGATACTTTTACTGAACAAGTTATTGAAATTGAACAGTCAGTCGTTAAACCTGCACGTGAACAATAGCGAACTGAATCCTCAACTTCATCACTTAGAAGAAACCATATAGCAGTAATATGAGTGATGCAAAATGGCAGGTTGTGAAGGAAATACATAAGCCAGCGCGTCGAAATCTTCCCCGTCGAAAGACAATAATAAAGGTATTTTATGACTTGTGGCAGATGGTTCTGATGGAAATGTAACCATATGCTAAAGAAAATGACGGTCATAGGTACATCCTCATAGTAATCAACTGTTATTCGAAGTATGTATGGTCAAGACCATTGAGAAATAAAACTGCTGATTCAGTTACTGCAGCTATGGCGAGTGTGTTGAAAGATGCGAAGCATGTCCCAAGGAACTTACAATCTGATCACGGTACCGAGTTTTATAATTCAAAATTTTCATCGCTTATGAGAGAGCACCGTATCAATCATTACTCAACATTCAGCACAAAAAAGGCTGCAATTGCGGAAAGAGTCATCAGGACGTTGAAAAGTTGGCTTTATAGACAATTTTCACTTCAAGGCCACTACAGTTGCTTGAATATTCTTCCTAAAATTACCAGTCAATATAACAACAAAGTTCATCGTACCATTGGCATTAAGCCTGCAGACGTAAAACCATCCACAAAATTTACAGTTTATGCAAGATCAAAGAAGCAGCATTGAAAACGTGAAAAAATAGAATTTAAAATTGGAGATATGGTGCGAATCAGTAAATATTAAGGCGTGTTCGAAAAAGGTTATACGGCAAGCTTTACAACTGAGCTTTTCAAAGTTGTAAAAGTAAATAAAACAGATCCTATAACTTATGCGCTCGAAGATGTGAACGGACAGCCAATTAAAGGTTCCTTCTATGGTATGGAATTGAATAAAACCCATGATCCCAATACATATTTGGTGTAGCGAGTTTTGAAAACATGTAAACACCCATGATACGGTCTCTATGATGCAGCTGGGTCAGTATTGATGTGAGGCATGTGGAAGACCGTTCACAAATTTCACAAGAGTGTCAGCATGCAAAATATGTAATAGTGTCAAACCTGTGCGTGTGCGTAAGCACACACAGAAAGAATTCGAAATTCCTGTTCAGGCTTTTTAGGACCCTACCGACAACAACATGGAGGAGGAAAATAAAAAGTTAAAAGAGGAAAACGAAGAATTGAAAAAAGACATCGTAAGCTGGCAGGACAAATACCTGACGGAGTTCGCCAGATGCAAGGAGGCAATAGAAGAGTTAAGAGATAGGATTGATAAGTTGACTGCAGAGAATGCAGAACTAAAAGAATCCAAAACAAAGAAGAAAGAAAAACCAAAGAAGGAGGAAGAAGCAAAACAGACAAACACCAGGAAAAATCAACAACAAGAGACCGGAAAGGAAAAAGAGTGCAGAAAAGCGAAGGACACAGCGGACAACGAGGACAAAAACAAGATTCTGACAACAGCCCCCGAGAAGGAGAAGGAGAAAGCTACCAAGAGGACAAGAGAACAGGTAGTAACAACCGAAACAGAAACGGAAGATGAAGGTTTCCAAAAAGTGGAAACTAAGAAAAGCCGTAAAGCCAAGAAGAGAACGACAAAGGACCTAGAACAAAACAAGATGGACGCGGAAACAACGTCCATGGACACGGAAACGACGCCCATAACTGTCGTACCAGTCATACCAACCGGAGAACGTAAAACTCCGGAGGTCCCAGTCTGGCCAACCCCCAGGCAAACCGAGGACAGGCCAAACGAACAAGGAGGATCAACAAACGCGGATACGCATCCGAAACAGACAAACCCCATGTCACCACCACCGATAGTTGTCCATGACAGCAAACGGTGGAATGAGATTTCCAGAGGTCTCGAAGCCCGTAAAATCGGGTATAATAAGGCAAGGCTTACTAGAGACGGAATATACATCTACACAAACAACGAAGAAGAGTGGCGCAAAGCCACAAGATACATGGAGGAATTCCGCCTGGAATTCCACACGTACACCCTGAAAAAAGAAATCCCACTCCACGCAGTGATCCGGGGGATACCGGAGAACGTGGAGGAAGCGGACGTCGCGGCAGACCTTACGAAACAAGGGTTCGAGGTTCTGGAATGCCATAGAATGACGTCCAGAAAAACCAGACAAATACTGCCACTATTCCTGGTCAAAGTCCCTAAAGACCAGGACAAAATCTACGCATT